TAAGTGGGAAATCCTGACATATCTAAGATGTTTGAAATACCAGTTTTGGAACTTCTCCTGTAGGAATAAAATACTTTTCAACTGGCGTAAAAGTATTTGATTACTGTCCTAATTTACCATTTATTTTGGCATCCCTGTTAATTCGGAATGAATCAGAGAGGAAAAGTACCAATTAATCATAATACATTTTCAATTTCATAGTAAGTTTTTCTGTAGCCAATTATTTAGTCATTTTTATATCCAATTATAAAGAAATGGCCTTATTGTACATTAAGAATCTCTCAAGAAACATTAGAAATGCTATTGATATAGAAGAAAAAAAAATCAAAGAAAAAAATTATTTAGTCATTCAACTATTCTTAATTCATTCTGACCTTCAGAATATTTAGAAACAGGCTCCTACTCACACAGAAAAAGAATTACTTCAGGAAACTGTTATGGCTTGGGTAGACCAATCCAGCATTCCGAAGAGTCTGACTCTCATTTTATTTAAATGTTATTTTCAAACAAAACAAATTGACTAGTCTTTATACTGCTGTCACACACTTGTGACCCTCTAAAATATTTCAGAATCAAAGCATTCTGCTAGAAAACTGGAAGAGATACTCTAACTTGAGGACAGCTGAAATGATTTAACAGTAGCAGCATGGGTGTGGGGGTAAATACAGGGAACAGTTGACGTAGGTGCTCTGAACTGCCTGTGCCTAAACTAAAAGAGTATGTTTTTCAATTGCAGATAAATGCTTCAATTATAAGTAAAATTTCTATAAAAATACCTCGGGAACTGCAGCTTCCACTAAGAGAGGAGGAGGAGGTATACATCCACTTTCCTGGGTAATCCCTATTGGCTGATAAATGACTTCAGATGGCTGCAGATACAAGAATGAAGGTGAAGAGGCAGGAGACTGAAATAAAACACATTATTTTCATAAATTACATGACTTATGCACTATAAATACCAAAGCTTATTTTACAGTCATCTTTGCTACATACAAATGAAGATAAAGCTTTGAAAGAAAGTGTGAAATTCATCTTTGATAACCTAAAGAAACTAAGTGAGGGGGAAGTGGGTAGGAAGGTCAGGTAGTAGAATAGAACAAAGATGTCCTTTAATCACTTTTATGTATTTTTCAGATTTTATTCACATTTTGGAGAGCATTGTTAGAGAAACCCTAAACTTTATAAAATTGACACTTACTCTCAAGACCACAGAAACATAATACAGTTTAATTTTCTCTTGCAAAAACATTACATTAAAAAAACAAGTATTGAGTTTTAAAATAAAACCCACAGTATTTCTGTAATTCAACACCCAGATTTCAAAGCAGCAGACTGACATCTATTAATAGAGTGGGACTGACCATAACTGGACAAGGCTGGCTGCTACTGAAGTAATGAGGACACATTGTAACAGTTCAAGCTTACAGGACTTGGTCCTCCTTTTAGCTTCAAACTCTTCAAGTTCCTTGAGTGGCAAGATTTCCATACTAAGCTCCTCTGCTACAGAGATCACAAAAATGATAAACTCTCCCCTCTGTCATGGTTCAACCTCAGCGGGCAACTGAGCACCACACAGCTGGTCGCTCACTCCCCCAGCCCCAGTGGGATGGGGGAGAGAATCAGAAGAGTGAAAGTGAGAAAACTTGTGGATTGAGGTAAGAACAGTTTAATAATTGAAATAAAATGAAGTAAAATAGTAATAATAATAATAGAAGAATATACAAAGCACGCCATGCATGATGCAATTGCTCACCACCCGCCTACCGATGCCCAGCCTGCCCCTGAGCAGCGGTTGCTGCCCCCCAGCCAACTCCCCCCAGCTTTATATACTGGGCATGACGTCACATGGTATGGAACATCCCTTTGGCCAGTTTGGGTCAGCTATCCTGGCTGTGCCCCCTCCCAGCTCTTGTACACCTCCTCGCTTGCAGAGCATGGGAGGCTGAAAAGTCCTTGACTTTATTATAAACACTGCTCAGCAACAACTAAACATCAGTGTGTTATCACATTATTCTCATGCTAAATCCAAAACACAGCACTGTACCAGCTACTAGGAAGAAAATTAACTCTTATCCCAGCTGAAACCAGGACACCTCCAAAATTACCAAGTTAGCAATTTCAAATTCTTCCTCCTATTTCAATGGTCTATTTCACCATACTTCTGTGTCTACATGCCTCTGCTAGCAATACTCCAATGAAACACCGCAGTTAGTATCAGTTAATGAGCTAGTTAATACTAATTTCTCCTATCAGGCAAAATATGGCAGTTTTTATCTGCTTCTGAGAACTTATTAGATAATTTAATACAAACTTTTTGCCAGAGGGAGAGGAGAGGGGAAGATGCTCTCTTTACATTAGATTTGTATTTGATGCTTCAATAAATGCTATTTTATGCCTTCTAGTATATCAGCAAGTGTTGTAAATGCATTGCTAAAATACAGCAATTAGTATTTATTTCAACAGTTTTGTGAATAGTGGAAAATTCCACTGTTAGATAAGCACACTATACCTTTAAACTGGATGCAAACTAATGGTAAAATGCTGCAACTATGAACTGTATTTACCTGTGGAACAGACCACTGCCACTGACTTGGAAGACACTGTGTTGGTGCCTAAATTCAAACAAAAAAGTTATTACCTACGTGACTAAGAACATATGCATACACAAATTAGAATTCCCAACATACTAGAGTCAAAACTATCTCAAATCTATAATAAATTCTTAACCAAAAAGAAGAAATATGATTTTCATAAGCCCCCAAATAATTCAGGAACATAGTTTTGTCTACTTCTACTCAGCCTCTGACTTGGGCATTTCATAAGCTTCTAAAATACTGAAGCATCTAAGAAGCGTGCCTAATTAGGAAAACAGAAGATACAAAGTGCAGTTAACTTTCCATCACACATTAAAAACATGGACATACTGCATAAATCCAGTAGTGGGCCACTATTATGGTTAGGGGACTGGAGAACAGACATATCAGGATGCTGAGAGAATTTGGTTTGTTCAGCCTTGAGAAGGATAAAGGTGGGAGGGGATAATTATTGCTGGCTACAACTACCTAAGGGGGGCTGGGGCATGAATATGACTGAGTCAGATTCTCAGAGGCGTTCAGCGCACAGGAGTCAATGGACAGAGGCTGGAACATTGCAAATTTTAACTAGTTATAAGGAAAAAAGTCTTTTACCATGAGAAGGGTCAAATATTGGAAGAGGCTGTCCAGAAAGGTTGTGGAATCTCCATCACTGGAGATACTTAAAATTCAACTGGACAAGTTCCTGAGAAACCTGATCTAACCAGCCCTGCTTTGAGCAGGAGTTTGGCTTAGATGATAAAAGTTAAGGACAGTACTAAGCCAGCTGTCTAGGAACACCAAAGAAAATTTTAATTTATTACATTTCCATGTAGTTATATAGGCAGAATAAATTGTATTCTATTGAAAAGACAGCCTTCAATGAGATTAAAATCTGTTTTATATGACTATTTTGAACAGCCTTTTTATTTCCTAAGAATAAACAGACCTAAGATGGCACTGCAAATAAAACTGCATGGCTGGAAGGAATACTGATTGTCTGAAACCCATTTTCAAACAGATACCTGATAATGGTATGTAGGAGACTGATAAACTGGTTGAGCCACCATCATAGGTGAACTGGAAACAGAGCGTGACTTAAAAAGAAAAAAGTTACAAGTCTTAATGCAACAATTTCATAAATTGTCACTCCTATTAAGAACAGTTCTGAAGTACTATAATGCTGAACCACCTCCCCTCCCTTTTGAAAATGGATTTACCAAGTTTTAACTTACACTTAGATTCTTCAAAACCGCTGTTTCTAAGGGCCTACATTACAGATGAAACAAAAATCTTTGGCATATTTACTTAGTTCTTTCCAGAAAGCACTAGGCCATCACTATCTAGAGGTGCTAAGGCCATCTACTACCCTGATCATAGGTACATTTTTGTAAACACTTAGGGAAATCTAAGTTGTGACTGATGTATTCCTATCCTCTCCACAGCCCCAACCTAATCTTCCCTTTTCCGTTCCCTTCCTCACACCAGCCCCAGCATTCATCTCGTTTCGCAGTGAGACAGTTTAGGGAGCTAAGCCAGTTAGAAATCTGCCTGGATTTTGGGGTGACCCAGTTTAGGGTCAGAGAAACACCAGTGAAAGAAAAGGGGGGCAGAAAAACATGGCCATGGTAGTGGACAACGTAGGACCATGAACCTCTAGTTCCGATTAGTTAAAGCTAGTGTGTGCAACTCCCACGTCATGACAATTGCCTCATTCCTGCAAATATTTAGGAAGGAACTGCTCCACAACTACTGTAATTTATTCTAACACTATATGAAAATGCAGAATGCAAAATGGAAAAAAAAAGAGACCCCATCTGCACTATTATACATGCACAATACACACCAAAAAGTATTAATATCTTTGATTAATGTTTTCTGTAACATCAAATTTTTAGGTTTTTTCCTTAAATTCTTATATGGGTACTTTCCTAATGATGAAAATTAGGAATATGTAAATGACTGAAACCAAAAGAGGCAGCAGTATTTCTCATCGGAAAGACTGAGTGCTACTTGTTTGAAACACAGTGGATCTGAGCCAGGGCACTAGAACCAAAGTTCAGTACTATAACACTAAAAGTATTGGTTTTTCCAACAGGTAGGATTTGAGCAAGTTCTCTAGAACTATAGAGCATGAACTTAAAAAAGGCTTTCTAAAATACGTGGACAGGTGTTTATGCTTATCCTCTAAAGTTGAGAGGGCACTAGGAGGCACTATATCATACCTCTGTTAGAAGAGCAAACATCTTAGAAGTTAACAGAAGTGATTAAAACAGGTTAAATACTGAGAAAAAGATTCTACAGTGCCAAAACAAACAACAAAGAATCTATTACTGTTCTCATCTCTGTTTTGGGAAAGTCTGTTTTTATTTACTAGTAATTCTTCTATTGAGTTTTTACCCTCCAATACGTGAAGGGATTTTCCACTCATTTATAGTGGATCTATATTCCATCTCATTTATAGAGATTCAGCCTCTGTGAATGCTGCTTTTACAGAAATTAGTAAGGATGCATCCTCTGTGTAGGTCCTGTGCCTTATGCAGACCCCATCCGTCTTGCAATCCTTCCCTCTTGTAAAAAAACTGAAGCGATTGACAACTCCTTCCTGTACTTCCCAAGAAATTCTGTCCAAGTTCCCCAAGCCTAGTAAAGCCAATGAATCTACTGAATTATCCTCCTCCTAAAACAAGCAGTATTTGTGGAGTACGTGAATGACTATAAGATTACCCAATTTCACTTCTGATTTGTTTATCTACTATTATGTTCTCTTTTCATCCTCAGCATAATATTTTGCAGCCAAGAACACCTCACTCATAGAGGAATAATAAATGGAGCCAATCAAGGGTCATAAGCACCAACAACTCCTTAGTAAAACAAAACTTCTCCTGGGGTAGGGCCCACACTGATTCTGAACTACCCTGTCCAGTAGGTCACATCAAAGCGAAGTCCCCTGCAGAAGAATAATACACTTAAGTAATATTTTAAAAAAGCAAAACACAAAATAAACAAACTAATATAAGGAAGCCATTTAAACATCAAACACAAGGCTTAGCCAAAGAAACAGGAAGCAGGAGGGACCTGCAGACACTGCACTCATCCTGGTCCACAGAAAACCATATATACAAAAATAAATTACTTACTGGCCATGGCTGCGGAACAGAAGCAACTTCAGATGTATGAAAATAAGCCACTCCATTATGGTAAATATAAGGGTATCCACTTGAAGTAGTTAAGTACATTGTACCAGCTTCTGGTATTACAGTAGAACCTGGAATTAATATTTTAAAGTTTACTTACCAGTAAATTTTTTTCTTAGATGTGTAGGTCATAAAAAAAAATATCATTTCTGATCTTCAGAGAAGCAAAACACTCAAAGGAAAGAACATGAGGCAGCGTGCCTAGTGCCATTTCAATTTCCTCTCAAACACAAAATCATGAAAGCAGATGGTCACAGGATGTCTCCAGAGGTAGATGGAAAGGGGTGCAGAAGATGACATGCATATAAATTACTAAACAGAGATACTCCAATTACCAGCAAATATATATTTTTTTTAATCTTCAAATATCCAAAGGTAACTTCACATTGTAGGAGATTTTCATTGGTAACCTCCACATTTTCGTATTTAGCTGAAACAGGATCCAAGCACTAAAAACAACAGAATGATTTCATTACAAGGTGCAGCCCGGTTTCTCAACACACAAAGACTGTCTTTCTGTGATGGCACATTGCCTGGCAAAAGTGAAAACTGGTATCTAGATGTCAGCAACAGGGACACTTCTCAGCAATGCTGCCGCTACGGCAGAGGCTATAAATGCGCATGGTCTGATCCCAGAGCAGAGTTCTATCTACACAGCCATCTAACGGGTACTGACAGCAAGCATTATGCAAGTAAAGGGACATCTACCCCTATGCAGAGATTGTTTAGCTTTTTCAAACACTACTTTTGAGATCACCTAGGCTCTATCTCTGTCTGCATTTTGGGGGGCATGGGGCAGGACTGCATGTTTCTTTAGAACTTCATGTCAAACATGAAGACAAGTTTCAGTTCCAAATATAAGGAGACTTCTGTAAAAAAAAAAAAAAGGAAAATTAATTCTGTAACTGAAATTGAAATCTTGAAATCACATTAAGTAGGAACATAGCATGGAAAAAACTCAGGAAGAACACAATATAAAGAAGATCACTGAGCAAGTTTTAGTTTTTCATCTCCCTTGCAGAAGTAAGTGCCATGAGGAAGTGCCATTTTATAGACAGACACAACACTGAAGAGATTTCTAGAATGCTAAGTGGAGGACCAAGAAGGGTCCCACAATGATTCAAGGGCCTTCATTGATCGTAAGAGTTTGACTAACTCCTAGAAAAGCCTGAAGACACCCAGATACAATAGAGCTGAAATACTATCCATAGACAGGTCAGGCTAAGATTGTTGTTAGGATAGTGTTAAACAGACCTTAGAAAAATTAGAGGCTACTTTAGCTCCAGTAAGCAATCTAGAATAGTAGTTACTGATATCTCAAATGAGGAGACCAACAGGATCCCATGGCCAGCAATCCTGTCCACTTCGCTAACTCCCAAGTACGTTGCACAGAACTTTCTGCTATTGTTGAATACATCTCTTACAAAGGAAAAGGAAATATTCTCCATCAAACCCACCAAACTCACTGTGACGGGGGGGGGGTGCGGGGCGGCACCAAACTACCACCAAACAACTTGGAGGACGTATAGCTATCTGAAATTCTTCCAGCCCACAACAATTCATTCTTCTTCTAATTGTTCATGTTTGGTTACTACTTTTCAGCTTTTAGAATGCCCATTTTCACAATACTTGGTGCTGGGGAAAAGCAGACTGGGTGGTCCTCCCAGTTCTTAACAAAAAAGGTCCTATGATGACAGAAGAGCTAAAAATTGTTTCAGTTAATAATAGGGAAGACAAGTACTAGATTACAGGTGGGCTGCAGAGGACAGCGATAAGTGGCCTATCTCTTCAATTCTGCTAAATATAATAGAACCACAGCCCTACAGTGATACTGTGAATCTAGATTTTATGGCTTCATGAACCTCAAGATGAGCTGCAGTAGGAGAAAGTATCCTAGCGACTAAGGTTGGTAGGCTGAGCACGGGAACAGATACTAAAATCAGATCCTAGGGTATGTCCCTACATGTCAATAAGATCTTGTATCACAGATCTATCCTAGGCCTGAGGAAGAAGTGGCAGAGTCAAACAGGGCCACAGAGATCTCAAAAGGACACAGCAGCTTTCTCCAAACAGTATTTTTTAGGGTTTTTTCCCCCCTCTGTTCCCCAGGTTTCTGAAATAAAGAGATATGCCCCTCTTCTATCAATACACACATTCAGCACAAGAGTCAGAGGAAGGAAGCACAAGTCAGGCAGTGCAACTGAGAAAGTCCAAGTCAAAGATGGAAAGGGAAATAAAGCACAGCAAAAAGCATATAACCCCTTGATGATGACTGAGCAAAGATCATGCTGAATAATTTCTAAAGCAAAGAAACTATACAGTTGGAACAAAGTATCCCATTTTCCCTGGGCATACCTATGCGCAAGGGGAGGAAGAGAAAGGGAAATTTCCTGTCTGCAGAAAGTGTGTCTGCACCAACAGTGTTAGCGTACACATGAACTACTTCTAATCAATAACGTAACAGTTACAACTAAAGAAAGCTTTAGAATTAAACTAAAATTCTGTGTTGTCCTCAGACAGAAGATGAGCGAAAGTTTTTTTTTTCCCCCTCTTCCAAAAGGTACCATAGGACAAATACTGAAGGAAAGTTACAAAAGTACACTTCATTCCCTGCTGCACTTATAAAGGAATGTATTTTACACCTCTGACACATGGCTCTTACTGAGGAATAACAAAACAGCATGCCCTGCTATGCCAAAAACTTGACAGATCTTGTCTTAAAAGTTGGCGATTTATATCCTACATTTTCAGTAGTGTTTTATAGAAATAAAACAGCCCCGGTAGAGGGGAGGGCATCTTCTCTAGAAGAAAACCTGTCTTCTGTCTCCCCCAAAAGAACATTGTAACAGCACACTTGCTCAAGATAAAGTCATCTGACAAAAGACTTATCAATACTCCTCTTATGTATGTGTTCAGTCTAAATAGTTCTTTGCCAGAGAAGAAACATACAGCATCCGTTCCATTATCTTACAGCAAAGAACTCTTAAGAAGTGAATGGTGACTGCAGCCACCCATTCCTTATAGTTTCTACCAAAGAAAGCAAGATGCAACAGTCCTGATGGATTTTGCTAATACAAATAAATAAATCGGTAACAACCCAAGCAACCAGCACAGCCTGCTTTATCCTGTAGAATCTGTGAGGACACTCAAGTGTTTAGATTTGAGGTTCTGCCTGGCAACTCAGAGAAATTTCCGTTCAGTTTGTTCCTAGATAATCTTTTCCAAGAAAGAAAGTAAACAACATATTAAAAGAGATAAACAGATTGATGATCTTTGGTTCTTTTATTTGGACATTTCTACTGGCATGCACTTACTTCCACTGCAAACCATTCTGAGCATATTCCATGCACAGCATTAATACAGTGCACAACCAGGTACTTCTTGGTTAAAAATTCACATTCGTAGTGACACTTATATAATATACAAATGTAAACAAAAATACATACGAGGACTCCGTATTTGTTGTTTTCTTATTGCTGGACCAATATTCAATTTCTTATCCTTATAATTAAGTTTTTTAGCCTAGAATTAAAGAAAAAAGACATTCGTTATGTGTATTTTCTACAAATATCTAGGCATCCAAGAAACAAAAGTCAGAAGTAGACAAGGCACTTAGTAGGTTTCACGCTCTCCCCTGCTTTTTATTTACAGTGCATCTCAAAAAAACCAGAAGCTATACTAATTCCTTTTCAATCTAACCTTAGACTTCACATAGACAAAATTAATCATCGGTAATTTCAAGTATTACTTACTCCTCATGGAGCCTCTTGACTAACAACTGATACCTATAATTGTCAGCAGATTTTTTTAGTTTTACCTTCCTCACGTATTTACTGCTTTTATAAAAGCACATGTATACACAAACTGACAATTTCAAGTATAGATAAATTTATTTTTTTCATGATCACAACATTATTTTACAAAAGATGACAGGAACAAGTAAGTCTATGAAAATGGCCAGATAAGGGCTGAATGTAGAAAGTCCCCATATTCACTCAGTCCTGACTTAAAACTTCCTTACATCCAGGCTAACAAAACATAAAAGCACACTAAAACAGATATCCTAGTAAAGCTAAACTATTGCAGAAGATTTTTTTTTTTTTTTAATAAAAAGGTGCTAGGTACAGACAAAGCTACATTCTCTTCCAACTGTTTTGCTTACAACAGAAAGTGAGCATCAGGTCCATCAGGTAAATTAAAACCTTGCCTTTGTTTTTAAATTGACACTGAACTCACTACTTGTTAATAAAAAATAGTAAGAATAGGGTAAATCAACTGGTTTTTTTAGTTGTCAACATCTATTTAGTGCTGCTTTGCAAAGTCTGAAAGGGTTCCGAAGGCCTACTTCCCTGAACAGTTACGTAAGGGAGAATGCGCACTAAACACTACCACGTTATACCACGAAGTCTTCAGTTTTCAGAGCTCTAACTTCTCCGGTAAGGAGATAATTACTTCTTAAAGAGGAACATAGAAAGAAACACAGCTCTAAATCACATTCAACAGAAGGACAACAGTTAGGTAATCAATACATTTTCTTCATTTCAGCCCAATTTAGCAAAATACTTGAACACCTGTACAAAATGCAAAGTCCCACCTATCAGATTTAAAGTCAGGAAGAGGTTAGACTATTTTGTTGGATCTGGGACTTCATAAACAAGGATTAATTATGACAAACATACCTGCCTAGCCTATTAAACACAGAGCAACTCCTAGGAAACAGATGCGCATTTCAGTCAAACAGCATTCCAACACAGACAATAGGAAGACGATTCTTTCCAGTGCAATGTATTTCATTGATGTGATCCATCAGAATTTAGACTTTTTTATACACAACTTTCACAATTAAGAGAAATATCTAACCTGTACGGACTTCTTCAAAGCATTTAATACAGCACTGCTTGAAAAATTACACATGATGCTACAGAAAGCGAAGACTAATAGGAAAAACTGTGGTGAATAAAAAATTACTTCAGAAAGATGGAAGAGGTAACATTAGTAGTAATAGCATACGACCAGAAAGAGGATCCTGGTGAAACTCCTCAAGATCTGTTCTCGATACTAACGCAATTTAATACTTTCGAAGACTGCAACATAGAAATTTCTGGTGACACTACTCATGACAGAAAAGTAGGACACAAAAAAAAAATCAGTGCAAAGGATCATCAGGATATATAAATGAGATGAAATTCAAGAGCACAAAATGAAAACAATCATTCATTTCATACATAAGTTATTAAAGCCTAGAAACTCTCAGCTTAAGATGTCCGAGAAAGACCTAGATGCTAATTGATCTCAAGATGAATATGAGATAGCAGTATGATGCAAAGATGAAAAAGGTGATAGAATTGTAGGACATCTAAATTAAAGCACTTATAGTAGACAAAGAAGCATTAGTATCATTGAATGAGACAGCAGTAAGACTTCACATGGAGCAGCTTTTCAGTTACAACAGAGGCAAAAATCCTAAGCCATTTTCACAATGGTACTCAGTACCATTGGTATTCTTCTAGTTCACAGAAATAAAACAATAAAAACAGGGAAAAAAAAGGTGGCTACTCAAAGAAGTTCCTGTCTGTATACCCTCTGGCTCCACAAAACCATATTTTTTGAAAACACTCTGAAAGTGTCTTTGAAAATGTCCTGGCTCTTATTTTGAATTTTAATTTCTAACAAAGGCTCCGTATTTCAACATTTTAACTGGTTTTATATTTGGGAGAATGCAATTTGCAAGCCTTGGATACTGTTTTCTGGTTTGGCTCCCCCCCCTTGCACCTGGATACCCTCACGTGTATGAATAGATCCTGAACAACAGATCTCTCTAATACATTCCAATGAGAACATGGAGCACACATTTAAAAAACAAAACAAACTGAAGAGCTAACATACAGCTGAAGAGCTAACCATGTCTCAAGGGAGGTTCTACAAGGAGCATCAAGACAGTAATGCAGCTAAGAGGAGCAGCAACAACTACACGGACATAAAATGAGCTTCATTGTTTAAGACTTCAAGTGAATCAAATTATTCCTGAAAAGAATTACGTCAGCTCTGACAATCAAACATGTCAGAATAAAAGACAGCAGTTATCTTTCCCAACTCCCCACAAAATCTTGACAGCAATGGATTTTCTAGTAAAGCAAATGAAAGCAATTGTGAAGGATAGAGTCTTTATAGCTCTATATGTACTATGGACCACACATAGACTAAGAAAATAAAGACTGTATGTCAAAGTCAAGAGCTCTACTATGAACTGGCAACTCCCTTCCCTAGTTCCAGAAAATCTCAGTATAAATATTATCTTAGATCTCTCTATGCCATCTTCTTAACTACAGAGACTGAACTTAACAGATCTTCAAATGCAAGTTGGCAAACAGAAGAGGACCAGACAACCAGGGCTACTTAGTGTCTAATATGAAATGGAGTATTTCATTTAAGAGATGAACATAATTGAGACTATCACTTACCTCTTGTAAAATCTTCTGTGCATCTTCTTGTGTTTCGAAAGTAACGAAGCCATACCTAAATAAAAATTACAGAAGCTAAGTCACTGAAGTTCATATTTATATACATTGCACATTATTACTTCATATATAGTACAAGTGACATTAAAAGGTAAACTAATGGGAAAAAATCAATCGTAGAAATAAAGATTGCAGTAACAACTGTAATCTTAAATTAACATCCTTGTTATAGTCTACTTACTAATATATTTAAGTATGTCATCATATATTACTGTTTCTATGCAGCAAACGAGTAGCCCACGTAGAAAGCTATGCAAAACTCTCTCTATTGTCCTTGTTACTCAGTTTATGTCTTTAGTTCCTTCATTTCTATTAAACAGAGATATTGATCTGAAGCTCTCACTTGTTATAGGTGCCCAAGACACTTGGGATGGTTTTGTTTTTTTTTATACTATACTTTACAGCACAGCTCCCACCTACTTCAGCAACAACTGTGAATGCTCCACACTTCCACAAGCACTATCCAGTATATTGAGTTCTCAGGAAAAGCAGCAATGCAGAGACAGTGTTTATCTGTGAATTATTCTTGCCATTCTTGACATGATTAGCATTAAACAAGAGCTCTGTGGTGATTAAGGATGAAGTTTTCTCATACTTCATGACACAGTATGTCTCTTCCGCCATACCTCTTCTAACTGCTGCAACAAATCAAATGGGCTTTCTACACATAACTCCTGCTGTACCAAAACCCCTCAATTAATTCTCAGAGAAATCTAGGCCACTGAATGCGACACTGCCTGTGCAAAAGTTAAGTATCTGACCTTATAATTAAGGTCTGTACCACAACACATACATACCAAAAAATGGATTCCTGCCCCCCCCCAATTAACTTCAACTTTCTGAATATCAACAAATCTTTTTTTGAAGTCTTTTAGTAGTTTTGTATGCCTAATTTCTTAGGTTCATGGCTCATTTCTCATGGTCAGATTTCAGAAGATACCAAGAAGGCCTCTGTCATTCCAGCCAGCAGATCACATTTTGCAATACAATATATCATTCTTTGTGAGCATTTCCATGCTTATTTCAGTACAGAGGTCCAGTAGGTCTCTGACCAACTATACTTCTACATCTGTGGGTTTTTCCTGTATTGCCTTCTCTAAACAAATTTGGAAACATTTCCAAGTTCAAAGAACACAAACTATTTTCCTAGCTTGGGACCTTACCTACACAGACTTTTCATTCTATGTGCTAACTGGACAATAAACTAATAGACATAATCAATCATGCAAACTTGTAAGTTTCTTAAATCACTTGTCAATGAGAAGCAGTGAAGCCTGTGCTTGGATTTAAATAGAAATCCCAACACCGTTGAAAGTAATTATTTTCCAACATATTTACTGTGAGACATATGTTGGCAATCACAGCTGTATCACAATTGGATATTCTTGGGTTATTGTATTATATGGACACATGTATTGCAAGTCTCAGCTATTTCTTGGAATTCAGTAAAAGAGTAAGAGGCTTGGTGACAGATCTGGGACCAGGACCAAGTCCAACATGCCATGCAGGTGTATACTCTATGCTAAGACCTGCAGCTCAGTGTGTAATTTACTAATAAATGTTAAGTGCTGACAGCATTAAAATTATGAGATTCAGACACCACAGGCTTACTACTCAGAAGAGAACTTCTGACCAAAGTGAACTTTAAATGAACTTTACAGGTACAAATTCTCATGCACATTCCTTTTTGCTTCAGCCCTCTTTCCACCCTTCCGTGGCAGTTCAGTTCCCTATCTTGTTTTCTTCACTGTCCTTTGGGTTCTAGCAACAACTTACTACCCAGTCTTAATCTTTCTCCAGTTTTGCTCTTTGGCATTTCTCTATTGTTGACTTCCAGTCTTAGTCCCCTTTTCTGCAATCATGATTCACTGTCAGATTTTTCCCCTGTGTTCTCGTTCCAAAAAATCTTCACAGAAAAACTCAGTTATTGCCATGCACTCTAGCACAATCAGGTGTATCTCACCTCTTCCTCCATTCTTAGGCTCCTTTCCACATTGGCTTTCAGTAGTAGAAATATAGATGTTGAATAACTAAGTTACCTTTATAGGATTATCTACTTAAATTATTATTGTAATAAAAAACCTAAAGGACTATTGAGTTTTTCCTAGTTGCACACAGCTTCATCTTATATAATAACATGACCATAGAATTTTACAGTTATGCAAATTACAAAGACATTTATATGTAGACATTAGCGGGCAAGAACAGATTTTTGCATACACAGAATAACTGGGAACATCAATGACATAAAATTAATAATATTCTCAGCTATGAAAATCATAATCAAATTTACTATAGTCAGTCAGCTTTCTGTTATATTTTCAATTCCCACAACATGCTTATTCTACTATACCAACCCCTTTGATACTCCAGCTCTGTCATTTACTATCTTCACTTCTTTCACACCGCCATACTGAGCAAAAAACTTCCTCAGATCATTTTCATTAGTCTAGTACAGTAAATCAAGCAGGGGGAAAAAAGAAGAAAAGTTGGTTTGCATAGTTATTCAATGAATATTTACCATAAGACTTCTAAAGGATATACTTTGGATAAAGTTTGTTACAAACTAATGATAATCCTGGATAGGAAGAAAGAAGAATGAGAATGTATGAGCCTCACAGCAAGAGGACAGCATCCCTGTTTAATTACTGCATTTTCATATTCAGCAATAATGCTAGAAAACCACTAAAATATTAAAATTCCTCTTTTAGTGGATTTACATAACAACTGTCCCTTTACAGGCAAGACCATTGAAGCAGGTTTACTAGATCTGAATTTCAGTTCCTGTAAATTACATACTAGAGCACTGTTTACAATATGAAACATCACTGCAGTGTTTTCAAACTTCGAAACGGCAGAGTATGTAGGCTTCCATAAGGTTATGCATAGGTCACATATGAAAAAAATCCCCACTAAACCACAGTGACATAATGGTTAAATCCATCTAATTTACCATGATCCCTCTTTCTAAAATATATTTAATATAAGACTGAAAATATGTATAGGCACACCACAGGAACTCCCTTTTATAAATTAAGTAACAAAAGGTCCTTTGAATGGAGAATGGTCTAAATCCACTTGGAGGAAACTGTTCCCTTCTGAGTATGCATGGAAGAAGACAAGTTCCTAATGTAAAGGCACACCTAAGCTAGGTGAACACTCATCTACCTTCTATGAATCGGTTTTCTTTTACAACGTAAGCATATATCAAATATGGTGCCCTAAATACCACATTTCAGATTTTCAAGTGTTGTTCTACATGGTCCATAGTTAATACTATACCTAGTGCTAGAAGAAGTATGCTTATATGCATGGATCTCCACATGCTTCAAGCAATTTCTGTATTCATCTATACTTTTCATTATTTTAAAGATGTGTGTCAGAAGTACCACTTTACCTCTAAGTGAATGACTTTTATTGTTTTTAACTGCATGTATACAATTTAGTAAATCCTCTCCTGTACAAAGGCTTATCTGCCTCATCTAGGTTTGAGAAACAAAACCTAATTTAAACAACTTTCATAACCGGAAAGAATATGAAGTTAATGCTCTTTCTGAATAATTCTACCCTCAAGACACATTTTACAAAAAGAAATAATGCAGCTTGCTTGCTACAACCTTTAAGTCCAGCAGACAGCAATGACAGTAGAAGACTGCTTTATCTCCCTCACTAATCCAAGTATTCAGGCATTAAAATATTAGAAAAATACTCAGCCACTCTGAAAGTGTGAGGGGTAACAACAGACACCAGTGCACTGAACAGGCATTAAATACTTCACATTTTATTAAAGCTCAGTAGTTGTGTCCTCTCCTTGGAATCTGCCTGCACTGGTTCTTGAGAAACTACCCACCATGGAAAGGTTAAAAAATTTCTGACTGGAGTCCAGAACCACTCTCTTGAATAGATGATCATGCCTTGCACCTAAATAGAAGTGTGAAAGCCTGTGTACATAGGAAAACAGATTCAGCCAAACAACTGATAGCTTATATAAACCAATTCTACAGCATATGCTAAAGTGTTGCCACATTCTTGAGTAACGAAAAGCACGTACAAAGTACAAAAGACTCACAGTGGAGATTTTCCTTTCCCTCAAAATTTTCTCCAATAAACACCAAAATGTATCTGCTTAGAAATGAAAGGCCTATAGATAAAATTTCCCATTTCTGAAAGATTGCTTCTTTTAAGCTCCATATGTTACATGCAGCTCAGCTGCTTCACAAAGCTGAGAAAAAGAACCTGAAACAAAATAGTTGAAGGCTAAAATACGCCAAGAAACAACTAAAGAGCCCTTAAGATTGATCAGGCCTGAAAGTGTCATTTAATACCTCAAGGACATGAAGCATGGCTACACAAGACTATAAACTTGGAAAGCCAAACGTTTATCTGCAGAGCAGTGTATTGAAGGGGAATAAGAAGGAAACACTAATCTATGATTCACAGTGAAGTCTGCAAGTATCTGGACAAACATGGTACCTAGAAGCTTGCCAGAAACACATTCAGGACTTGCCTTTTCCTGCTCATGACACGACAAAAGCACTTGTCAGATTCTTAAGAAAGGCTAATGTTAAGCCTTCACCTACGTCAAAGATACATGGCATACACCACTGAAGAAAGAGCTGTTCAGACCAATATGAAAGTGTACCCAATTGTAACTTCTCTTACTGAATTGCTTCTCTAAATTTAAAGAGGCCAGACATTTCCTTTTACAAATAGGAATCACTCCTATGGTGACAGACCAAATGGAAGCATCTGGCAAAATGATAAAAGAGCTTGCTGGAAAGCAAATAACTTTTGTTGATTAGGTGTCTCCCTTTTTCACAAAAATAGATTGCTTTTTTACCACCCCCCCCGCCCCCCCAGCTGACTTGAATAAGACCTTTGGGGGGAAAAAAACAACAAAAACCAATGCTTTTTGCCATAAGACTGCCAATAACAAACAATCCAAGACTGACATATACATCCTATGATTCGAACAGATATTTAAGGCTCTACTTGCTATCAAGAGTCATAGAAATGGAAGAGTAGGTAAAATGTCTACAGAGGTTTCATCCCTTCTATTTCCTTTCCCAACGAAATCCATCTTCTTTATGCTTAGAGATACAAATACACTTAATTCCTCTGTTGTTGAAATTAAGATTCGTAATAGATTTTGACCTATCAGTGACTGAACCAAAAAGTCAAGAGACCCTTCAAAATGAACAATAAATATGACAATTAACAAGAATATTGACACGTTATGCAGAAAAGTGTTTTAACCTTTGAAATTGCAGTGAAGAAAGAACAGAGTGAGACAGGTCTTTTTACAGTTCTAGTAATTTGCTTACAATTAATGCAAAAAGCTACTGTGCCTCTTTGCTAAAGCCCAAATATACTGAAGACCTCATACAACATGTCTTGTATTATGAACGCCTCCATGTGAATTATCTCAGCCAAATGAGCCAGAAGATCCTAGAATTTCTTGTATTTATTATGCAAAATAGCCTGAGTGAATTGTCATTCTTCCTCCTCTTCATCTGAGTCAGTGCTCAAAAGGTCCTCAGCCTAGGAGGATTAAGGCAGAGAAGATACTGTTGGTGGGAACAAAGAAACAGCTAAGTAGACCAACAATGTTTCACTAAAGTCAATGACTTAACTTATTCTCTAAAGTGGTAAGAAAGAAAAATGAGAGTAGCTGGTATAAAGGTCTGGTGCATATCTTGCTACTAATGTTCAAAGTGACTGAACAATGTAAGAATGGTTCAATATTCACTGCTATTTGAGGTTTTTAGGGCATATGCAAAGGCACAAACATTCTAAGAGTTAAGATCAGTACTGCAAATCGTCCACAGAAGTTTTAATATTTGCTTTAAAACAAACACTTGCTTTTAAGAAAATTACTATGCTAAGTGAAGAATACATGCACTGTAGCTCCTTCTTTGTATGAACTGGAAGAAAAGTGCTAGAGGAACTGAAGCTACTGACATTTGCTCTGTTTGCACTCTATAACATTGTGTTTATGGTTTATTAAATTACACAATAAAAAAACCACATACTTTTCTACCACAAGCTCTGCTGATTACAAAAGCCACCTTCTTTGAAGAGAGAAAATTCTGAAGAACCAGTACATCAAAAGCTTCTAGCAGCTAGGTGTACAGAATCAACTTTGTAGTACAGTTACACAAATCAAGGCTTAAGACTTTATTCTCTACTGTTGACTTGAACATCACAGTGAAGAGCACTTACCACCTAAACAAACACACATGTGATTATGTCTCACATTTTTTCCTACTGATTTTTATAGGGTTATAAATTATCATTTAGTAGTAAAATTAGGAAAAAAAATACCTTAAAATCAATTCCTCCTACAAAGATGCGATTTGGAGTAACTGTTCCAAACCTTGGAGCACTGGTCAGATTATTTAATGGCACCGGTGACACAGTGTTGGGAGATGAAGACAAAGATTCTGTTTGCGTCTGATTTGTGGTCTGCTAATTGAAAGAAAATATTTTCAGTATCTTACATGTTATAAGCTATTAAATAAAAAAAAATCTCAACAGAAAATACATACAGAATTTTTTGGGAGGCACAGCGAATGCTGAACAACTGAACATTAACCATGTATTTTTATTCAAAATGCAGCTCAGCAAAGTATTTAAACATACGCTTAGTTTTAAGCAATTCAGTAACTTAGGGAATACACTATGGTCTGAAGTTTGACTTTTATTTTAACACCTTTCTGAATTAGACATTTGGGGCCTAATCCCCCAATGTTAGTTTTTCTCTTTGCACAGCACACTGCTGTATGAATCCTAGGTTATGAATTCTATTTCAGAGATTAATTTATACCTACTAGAAGCCCCTTAGTTTAAGCCTATATAGAAAGCACCTTTTCAACTCAACCTGCACTCTCGCACACATCTACAAAACTGTGCTCTCTGCAACAGCTTCTGCTTCATTTTCCAAGTGCCAAGCACCCATAATTCCACCACATAAAATCAACAAGCCCATTACAAATGATGAGAACAGCACTTGAAGACTAGTCTTTTAATACAACACACTCTTGGCCTACAAACACAGTGCACAGTGATCCTAACAGAAATCCTCTCTGCAAAAGAAGAACCAGATTGTTCTTGCCCCAGTAAAGGAAAGAACACAGTACGGTGGGAACTTCACAGAAACCATTATTTAGTGAAGTCTGCCTGATGTTTTAACTTCCACCATGCTTACACCTGTGAATTGTGAAACAATACAGACTTGCATTTCACAGGAAACCCTTTTCAGAACAAACTAATACTGCCTTACATAGTCAACCCTAACTGTGAGATGATAGCTGTAAAGCAGCTACATAGTACTGTCTCTAGCTTCTCTAATAGGAATTGCAGTAGAGGCTTCAAGACCATTT